TGAGAGCTACCCCCACCTCGTTCAATGGTAAATATCTCGACCTCTTTTCAAGACACAATCGGTACTTTTTTCACAAGGCAAGGGAATAAGCTTTCAGATATTACCAATAAGTCCACCTGCCCAAAAATTGACGAGTGCCTGGTTCCACCGGGTTGTGACACATATTACAGCTCTCTGAATTTTTTTTGTAGACTTGGATCTCAGAAGAACACGCTGAAGTTCATTAACAGAAAATCCAAGTTCTGTAACCCTTGATATCAAGGAAGGAACAAATAAATCATACCCACGACAGTTTAAGATCAAAAGACCACATTTTTCATTAAACGAGTTCATCATTTTGTTGACACGGAATCTAGCTGTCAGTAGATTAGATTAAAACAAAACAAAATCAAAGTTATCAACCCATGGATCGTCTGCAGAAAAGATGGAAGACAACGGAGGACACACTATTATCTATGGTGTAATGTCAAGGCTCTTTTCCCTAGCACTCAAAACTCAAAAGACATGAATTAGACTCTTCCGAGTGAGAAGTCTGTCTGAACGAGTTGTCCCAAACAGCCCGTGTTTGCTTTGACCCTACCTTTCTAAATGGTCTAAATTGTGCCTTCATAGGCGCAAAATATATCGAAGAATATTGATCAGTCCACTAGCAACATTGAACAATATTTAGTCTAAAGACACCAATGAAGGCAAATGGTATAGGGTTTAAACCCTTAATAACTTACTTGGAGAACCTAAACAGATGGTTTACGGGAAACGTCGGGATAATGTAGCTTTTATGAAAGCATCAAAGCAAAGCAATGAATGGAGGTCCATGACCGCCGATGTGTGTTGCAGATCTGGTACAGGGTGTCTAAAAAGGACCCTCTTTAAGTACAATAACGTGGTCGTCAGTTCACAAATTTGAACAAAACTTCGAACAAATAAATTTCGATCAGGGAGATGTCAAGTTTGTATGAGAGAAACAGAGAGAACTTAAAGGTTCAGCTCCTCTGTTAACTACGAGAAGATAATCAAGAGGTGACTATCTCTGTTATAATCTTTCAAAGCAGGCGATGAAGAGTCTTGAGAGCTTCCCGAACAATTCAATGTTAAAGAACTCCCTTTTTGAGATTTTTAACTAAGGTCACCTACAACAAAACCCAGCTTGAAATCGTTTGAACTAACACTCATCCCTATAAGCATGCTCCACCTTAAAATAAGGAAAAACAATGACTGGGTGGTTGGCGGATGCTCTAGTGTGGCTTGCTTCTTCTTTCCTATCAAATATCTATCATCCTCATTTCTCCTCCTTTGTATGTTTGTTGCTCCCTTGTAAGACCAACAATCTTCGGCATTTGTATAACAAAACAAAACACAACAGAATGCAAAGCTAAAAACAAAAACAGAACAACAGGAACAACAACTAACAAAACAAAATAAAACAAAACAAACATAAAATGAATATTAAAAGTAAACTCCACAAAGAGACGATGACACTCTTTTATTGTTGGCTTTTTCAGATTCGGATCTCCCGCCTGCCCCCTAATCATGGCGTGTGTAGCTCAGAAGGCAAAATAGAGGACTTCTACGTAAAACATTTCAATACGGAGTACAGCAAACTGTCATGTTCCAAGTCGTGCTACCAGATGATCATCATGGAGTTTTGTGCATGCGCAGTGCCCTTCTACTTTGTGCCCCAGAACGTTACGATTTGTAACATGACTGACACTGTGACAGGTGAGAAAGTAGTTGTGTTTTTTGGCACTCTATGAAATCTTTGGTTTATTACCTGCATGTATAAGACTTTCGTCTGCGCTGTTGATTTCTGACCAAACAAATTACCTCGTCCTTTTTACGTCTGCATGCTATGAATCTGCATTTTAACCCGAGAAACAGAATTTAGGAAGCGGTCTGCTTCAACCCTGCCTGTCAAAGTCTCTCTGCGTTATGTAAGATACGGCATTCCAGCAAAAAAGATTTAGATATTTCATTACCCCTCCCCCCTCCCCCCTCCCCCCCCCCCCCTAAAAAATCAAAGCAAAACAAAAAAACAAGAACACAAAAACATGAGGTGTCGTACTTGAGTCTGTCTGACTACGAGCCTAACCGTTATTCGACAAACGGTGGGAGATTAAATATAACGATTCTGGTGATAATGACAGAAGTATCAACAAATCGCTTCCTTAGAATTACAAAGTTCTAACATATTTCGCCGTTTTGAGTCGCTATTATATGACCATGGGGTCAGAAACCAAATGTTATGTCTGCTCTATCAAAATCTTAAGATTATTCAGATCGTTTTCAAGATATTCAAAGAAATTCATTTTAAAAAAGCTTGACATGCCGTGAAACTCAGGGTTTTTAACGTCAAATTTCTCAAAACTAGGTACTGAGCAGGTAAAACATTGTAATTCTGAGGTAGCGAAAAGAAAATGTCCAATTTAACTTTAAAAGACCATTTGATGCCTTGACTACTTAATATGTAATAACATTCTTTTTTATGTTCCACGTCAGCACACTGCGTTAACAGGATGCCGTCTTCACAGACTGAGCGGTACCAGGAATGTGACAAATCTTGTCCTCTGCCGTGCGAGTAAGTGCTTATCTCACACAACATCGAGTGCATGTTATCCCCTTACATGTATGGTGTCAAAAGTTGTTTCTTGTTTCATGAGTGACAATTCCATAGCTCTTTTAATGTGTCGCAAACTATGGAAAATGCTGGTATTGAAAGCTGAGAAATTTGACATGCGTCTGACTGCATTAGTGTAAAAGAAATTTTGAGGCTTTAGTACCAAACATCTCTGCCATTCTGGTTTTCAAAATTTACAATTTGATTTAAAAACATTGTCCTCTGGTTCTTCTGGGCCTTGTTTCTCAAGGAATTCTTTACTTTTACAGGGAGACAAGATATGACCTGTCTATCTCCATGGCTCAATGGCCATCTGAGAAATTTGAGGTAAGTTTACATTTTAATGTGCCGCGCTGTTTTGCGTGTAGTCTGATTCAGTGCCATACAGCTTACAAAAGCACCTTTTCCGTCACATTGAATATCTTTTTACTTTCAAGAGCCTGTGCTCACATGTTGACTTGTTTATTTGACGACAGTGGGTACTGCCTACAATTTTGTGGATTTCTTCTTTTTTTTTTTTTAAAGAGGGTAGTGATTTTGTGGATTCTTAGTGATGACTGCGAAGACTACTATTTCTTAAAGGTGTTAATTTGCATTTATCAAAGATTAACATGAAGGATATTGTTTTAAAAAAGCACAAAAAGATGCCGTCATTCTGTGTACAATAACAAAAGTGATTTCAGTATTGAACAGTTCTCTCTGATTTGACCAGTTCTGAACTATTATTTTTTCTCAGAACACATTTCCAGATTGCGAAAGGATATGTCAGATTGGGATTTTGTGACCAGACATTCATACATTCATGTATTACTTTGAACTGCTTGCCAAAAATGAGGGACTATATTCATTTGAGAACTTTAGTATAATTTCTGTCATTGAGATGAAGATAATGTGACTGTATTATTGTCCCAATGGGTACTGCGTGCATTCTTTGAGAATCTCTATTCTATACAGGACTTCTTGGCTCAGAGGCTCGTCAAAGTGAATGCATTGTACCTCACACATGGAGACGACAGGTACAGACTTTGAATTATATATTATTATTTTCTGTTGGCCTGCCTTTCCATATTATACTCTTAGCTATCATACTATATACCCACTTACTCGTATCACCATCTGCTGGCCATCTTTTGCAGTTGCGAGCGCCGTAAAACCTCTACTGAAGCTAACTGCAGGCCTTTCTACTTAATACCTACCTACCTACCTACCGCCCTACCTACCTACCTACCTACCTACCTACCTACCTACCCACCTACCTACCTACCTACCTACCTTTCTACCTGCCTACCTACCTACCTACCGAACAACCGAACTACCGAACTACCGAACTACCGAACTACTGAACTACCTACCTACTGAACTACCTACCGAACTACCTGCCTACTTACCTACCAACCCACCCACCCACCTTTCATCTATCTATCTATCTATCTATCTATCTATCTATCTATCTATCTATCTATCTATCTATCTATCTATCGGCCTGCCTGCCTACCTGCATGTCTGTCTGTCTGTCTGCCTGTCTGTCTGTCTGTCTGTCTGTCTGTCTGTCTGTCTGTCTGTCTGTCTGTCTGCCTACCTGCCTGTCTGCCAGTCTGCTTATAGATTCAACTGACCTGCTAAAATGAAAGGTATTCCCCATAGAAAGTATACGTCTATACCCTTTCCCTGATCTTAAGACAAACAAAGTCTGTGCTCAGTCAAAATGTATCAACAAAGAAATACACCTGCTTCACAAGAATTGGATCCCAAAGCACTGAAACCTCAGAACCTGTTTTTCATTGTTGTTTTGAGTTGGCCCTCATATTTCTTATTCATGTATGTATTCTCTTTATACATTGATTGATTGATTCGTTGGTTATTTGACTGATTTGTTATTTCATTCATTTGTTTTCTTTCATTCACTAATCCACCTATTCAATTATCTTCTATCTATTTATTTATTCATGCACATATTTTTAGTATTGGATAAGCTCACATTTTAAATATAACCTCTATTTGTCTGATTGGTTGTGTTTAATAGTATTTTTTATAAGGGGCTTGGCTTATGTTGTATTTTAGCTCCAAATGCTGTAGAAGAATAGAAGTGATGTAGATTTAGAGAGGGAGATGCAGAGTGAGCAATGCAGAGGAAAAAGATTAAAAGAAAAAGTGAGAAAAAAGAGATAGGGAGATAGTGGGAGAAAGAGACATATAGAAGAAACAGACAGAAACAAACAAACAAAAACAAAACAAAAAAAACGAGAGAGGGGAGAAAGCGAAAGAGAGACAGGTAGGGGGAAGGGATAGAGAGAGGGACATACAGAGGGAGACAGAGAGAAAGCGTGGGAGAGAGAGAGAGAGAGAGAGAGAGAGAGAGGAGGGGAGGGGAGAGGGAGAGAGAAAGAGAGAGAGAGAGAGGAGAGAGAGGGAGGGGGGCAGAGAGAAAGAGGAAAAAAAGAGAGAGAAGGGTCAGAGATAAATACAGACAGACAGAGAGACATACACACACACACACACACACAGAGAGAGAGAGAGAGAGAGAGAGAGAGAGAGAGAGAGAGAGAGAGAGAGAGAGAGAGGGGGGGGGGAGACAGAGACAGAGAGACAGAGGCAGAGACAGAGACAGAGACAGAAACAGAGATAGAGACAGAGACAGAGAGAGAAAGGGGTGGGGGAGTCTGACGCACCAAAAGAAATTGAAATATTCTGATATTGATTTACGAGTATCAAAAGAGAATTTACCGAAAGAGAATGGTACATGTTTAGAATACCTTTCGGCTTTAGGGGGAAGAGAACTGCATTTAAATGGGCAGCTTTCGAAAGAAGAAAACAGTAATATTAGAATTCATGAATGCAGGAAACTAACTTTGCAAAATACTAGCTGATTCTTCAAAACATTGATTTCCTCCTTTATTTTCAGTGATGAACAATTTACCAAGTTACAGATCTACTACCAAGATCTCCTTTTTGAACACATTGAACAGCAGAAAGCTTATGAGGTATGTAACGTATTTTTAGTGCTTTGTTTTTTATAAAAGCTTTAATACACAGCTGAACTTCCGACCTATCTACCTACCTATGTAAAAGACTGACGTTATACTGGATAAAATAGACTTCCCCGTGCGAGAATTGAACTCCCGTATCTCACCCCTAGACTCTAGTGACACAGAATGTAGCCCCTACACCACTGACGTAGGTTCACACGTGCCATATTATTTGATGTATACACCATGGTATTGACGTATCGACAGTTGTAATTGTGGTCTAGTATTGTTCTATAAACTGACGTCATTAAGCGCTCTTTAACCAGGGAGACATTAAATATTCATGCATCCATTCAAGGTTGTGAATGCACTACACTGCTTATATTTCCACAGACGTGGAAAAACATGTAATATCAATTCCTAGTTGTGAGCTAGCTATTTATTTAGTCCAATTGTAAAGAAGGGCGCTCGTTGGCTTTGTCGTGACAACAGTGGCAGACTCGCTCATAACAAATCAAGTCTTCCATGGTGCAAATTCAGCTGGCAGGTGAAACAAGGCGAAAGGCCGATGTAGAAGTCAACAAATCTTTGTAAGATTAATGCGTCTTCGGAAAAGGGAAAGAAAATCAGTGCTTCGATCTGTGCACGTATGCCAAATACAAGTCAACAAGCACAGTTTGAAGGAAGTTTTTATCTTTCATAGTTTCGATTTGACATCAATCATTTCGCTACCTTCGATTTTCAGAGTTATCTCTGACTTTTTTTTTCATATTTTGAGCTGCTAAAACCATGAGTTCAGAAACCAAATGTTATATCTGCTCTATCAAAATAGTAAGAAAATTTCGGAGTCGTTGTCAAAATATTCAAAGATTTGCTTTTTACAAAAGCTTGATATTTTTAACGTCAAATTTCATAAAACATGGCACTGAGCTGATTCTAGGGTAGCGATTTGTCTTCACCCCCCCCCCCACCCCTAGCAATCATAACATTATGATCGAAGAAGAAGAAGAAGAAGAAGAAGAAGAAGAAGAGAAGAAGAAGAAGAAGAAGAAGAAGAAGAAGAAGAAGAAGAAGAAGAAGAAGAAGAAGAAGAAGAAGAAGAAGAAGAGGAAGAGGAAGAGGAAGAGGAAGAAGAAGAAGAAGAAGAAGAAGAAGAAGAAGAAGAAGAAGAAGAAGATCATCACCTGACGCAGAATGAAAAAGAAAGGTATCGGAAAGATGGTGAGAAAATGGTTGGGGGGGGGGGGGGGGGTACACGAATAAACGAATTCAATTTTTTATTCTTCCTAATCTACAGAGCATGAACCTAATCAGTGACCTCGGAGGACAGCTGGGATTATGGCTCGGTCTATCAGCCATCACTATTGGCGAACTGTGCAGCTTCTTTTTTAGTGTTGGTCAAACCCTGTTTCCTCTAACTGGCTGGGGGAACAGGCAGAAACAGGTAATGGTTTGTCACAACGTAAATTACTTACGTTTAATGATGGGAGGACAGCAAGACAGAGGGAGAGAGAGAGAAAGGGAGAGAGAAAGAGAGAAAGAGAAAGAGAGAGAGAAAGAGAGAAAGAGAAAGAGAGAGAGAAAGAGAGAGAGAGAGCGAGAGAGAGAGAGAGAGAGAGCGAGAGAGAGAGAGAGAGAGAGAGAGAGAGAGAGAGAGAGATACTGAACGTCATTAAAAACGCAGCGTTTTCAAAAAGTTATAAAAAAGCCAAAGTAATATTCTCTGTTCGTCACGATTTCTGGAGACACAAGTGAGCAGTTGTTAGTCCACACACCCATGAACGATTTTTACTATTTCCGTGAGTACTTTTCATAAGAATACAGTAAACTATGCATTCGTACAATTGTTGAATAATTGCTATATCATGAACGAATACAAAATTATTTACCTGGAAGATGAATTGTGGCTCTTTCCAAACAAAAGTCCAAGCTTTTTTTAACATCAATTTTTAAAAATTTCTTTCATTACAAGGCTCCTCAACTTAGCGAAACTTACCGCAACTTTCGCTTCCGCCTTGTTCATGTCGGAAACTCTACCCGAGACGCAGCAATACGGCTAAAATGCAGTGCTTGTATTGTTCTCGACTTGTACAAAGATTTTAGCACACTTGAAATGTCCGGGATGGACAAAGAATAGGACAGTTTCGAGTGACAAGCCCTGTTCAAAAGAGACAGATTTTGCTGTCGCATCTGCGAAATCGTTTCGTTTCTCAAAAGTAACAGCTCAAGGCATGCATGGGGTGCGTGAAAATGTTTCTTTCATTAGTGTGAGGCGAAAGCAGTAAGTACAGGACTTAGATCTAGAAGGCCTTATTTTGGACTGCAATTGACGAAGCCGCAAAAACTGCTCCGTCTTCACTGTGCGAAACAGCACAAAGAAAAAATCAGAATCTCTCAGTCATTCAACACGACACTCTGCCCTTACACTGCCCATTTAACAAACAACACAGTTTCTGGGAGATCCCGATATGAATGCCATGGACTGGCCAGTGTACGTACCCGACATGTCTCCAACAGCGCACGTATGGGATGAACTGAACCGCAAAGTGTGTGCCGTTTTACGAATCCGCAGCTGTTGGGAGATCGCGCTGCCGCGAAAGTGGGACAGAATTTCTCAACAAAGCATTGAGAATGTTATAAAAATCAATGTGAAGAAGTATTGGTCTGTGTAAATGTTAGTCATAGCCATACGTTGAAGTTCATGAAGTGAGGAACATTTATACAACATATCTCTACCAAGGACACAATTTCGGCCCATGGCAGGTTCAAACCCATGACCCTACAGTCACAAAGCACAAACGGCACTTCTGTTCTTGCAAACAACTCCAAATCAGTCTTGAATTCTGTACTCCGAATGATACATTATACCTCTAGGATATAGAGAGATCTAGATGTAGAGCCTTGCTCTAAAAAAAACAACTACGCACCGAATATGCGCCAAAATTTGGAAAACGTCAATACAACGTTGTAAACATTTGCGGGTCTAAACAAACGTAACGTGTTGTGGATCTAGAAAACGTCAGTACAATGATGTTTGGCCTGAAGTATCCATCGACACTGTGAAGCACACATCCAAACAGAGTTGGATATCGAGATTCTAGTTCTGGAAAGAGTAGTAGCAGCTTGCTCACACACATGACAAAGCACGAACTGAAATGGAAGTAGCCCCCCAGTAAAATATGAAATGGCTAATGGCAGAGTGAAAACACCCGAGAGCTTCGATTTACAGATAGAAATATAAAAACTGAAAAATCAAAAGGTACGAGTAGTTTCCGAACTTCTAAAATATGCCCACGTAACCCTTTGGGACAATTCTTCACTGAATCATATTTTTGTAGATTTTATGGGCAAATCAATCATCCGGTGCCTTGCCGACTGGCGCGGGCAATCATGGACCTCCACTTCACTCTGTCTTGCGTTGCAGCAATGGTGTCTTTTGTTGTTGCTGCTCCCAGCCATGTCAACTTGTCTTATACCTTTTCCCTCTGTCCTCCTCTGCCTCTCTTTCCTTCAAACTTGCCTGTTGTTACATTATTCTCAAATGCTTCTTTCTGCATTGTGTGTCCAAAGAAATTTGCCTGTCGCTTTCGTATATTCGTCATAAGCTGCCGTCTCTGCAATTTGCTTTAACCAAGATTTTTTCATTTGTTTTTCTAGCTGTCCATAGGATACGCAGCATGCGTCTTATGAACCCAAACTCTGTCGCCACAATTGTTCTTTTCAGCTGTTTATTGATTGTCTATGCTTTGCACCCGTATAATAGGATTAGCTCGATGTAACTTTTCAGCACTCTCTTTCTTGTTTCCAGTGACAGATTGATGTTTGTGAGTATCTGTTTCATTTTATGGAAGGTTGCTTTTGCTTGGCAAATGCGGCTTTTAATTTCGATGTGACATCTCTCATCTGATGATATATTATAATGGTCCCCAAATATTTAAAATGTACTTGCTTGAGGGTGGTATCATTGATTTTGATATTGCATGTTGGGGTTGGAGTTTTTCTGCTTATCACCATTGTTTCAGTTTTCTTGGTGTTTAGGCTTAAACTCATGTTGTCACTCTCTTGTACGATGGCTTTAATAGATTCTGTAGGTGTTCTTCCTCTTCTGCTATTATGACTGTGTCGCCTGCATATCTTAGATTGTATATATTATGATACCAGGCATTTCTTCTATGTGTTTCATGATATTTTCTCTATACTGGGAGAACAAGTGTGGTGAAAGTACACATCCCTGTGTGACTCCTCTTTTAATCTGTATGTTTTGGCTGATGCCATTGCAGCAGTTTGATTCCAGTTCATGTTCTTGATAATCCTGAAGTCATTCCCGTCAATATTGAGGACTTCTGGTATGTCGAGGAGCCTGTAGTGCTTAACTTTGTCGAATGCCTTGGTGTAGTCTATAAAGCGCAAATGAAGATCTTTCTAAACTTACAGGGCACGTTCTATTGTTGTTCTGATGACATATATGGCATTTACAGTGCCTTTTCCTGTAATAAATCCACACTGTTCTTGGGCTAATTCTGGGAGAATTTTATTTCGTATTCTCATCATAATTATTCTGAGTAGTATTTTAGTTATGTGGCTCATGAGGCTGATGGTACGATGAGTTTCACATTCATTTGCATAAAGGTTCTTTGGTATGGCTATGAAGATAGATTTTGAAAAGTCTGATGGAATGTGTCCAGGGTCATATATGTTGTTGAGAAGTTTTGTCAGTGCGGTGATTCCAAAGTCCTCATCTCTGTGGTAATGTTGTCCGGTCCTGCAGTTTTCCCATACTTCATCCTTCGTAGTGCCTTGATAACTTCTTCCTTCATGATTGGTGGGTCCTCGTTGTTATTTTCCACTCTTCTTTTTTCATCTCTTTTGTCATTGTACAGGTCACTGATATGTTGTGTCTAACGTTCCAGTAACTTATCTTTATCCATGATGAAATTCCCATCCTTTGATTTGAGGCATCCTGTTGATCCACGTGTAATTCTTCTTTTAACCAGGTCTCTTTTGCTAGGTTACAT